GACTATAAGAATTTTGAATCGTATACGTTCAGTTCCAAACGCGTTCGAATTCCTAAGTAGCCTGATGAAGACCTCGATGAGGTTGAAAACGTTTGCTAAGGTGTAAACAAATACCACTGGAGCGGTAAAGGTTGTTTGAACTGTTGAAGTAGACTATTCCATTACTCAACGAGCTCACACTCCAACGCCGAGAATATACATGGGAAAACCAACTTATCCTGGATACGGTGGCAGTGGTGGTGATGGAGGAGGAAGTGGTGATGGAGGAGGAAGTGGAGGTGGAGGTTGCAGAGGAAGGTCTCCTTCCCCCTATTAGTCGTAGTCGAAGATATTCCAGCTCCCGCTCCTATTCACCCCGTAAGTACGGCTACTACTGAGGGCAAAAGGAGTAATTGATGTTCTACAGTGCTTCATTTGTGGTACAATGTGTAACACTTAAAGACAAAATTGATCCCTGGTATAAAGACAGGGATCAGCTATACTTCTTTTAAATCCTTCATTAAGAAACTTCAGACTATGAGGCGTTAAATAAAATTAGAAGAAATATTTTAATCTTGCAAGCGCTTTCAACGTAAATATGTACATCGTCTTCAGGCAATTCAAAATCGAATAGAGAATTCGAACAGAACATTTAAATTTAAACATTAACAATTTTAGCCGTTTTTGGAATATTATTATAAATAAGATTTAAATTTTAGAAATAAATATTTAAAGTTGGTGCGCATGCGTTTTTTAAACAAATAAAGAAATAAAGACCGATTGAAATGGCTATTAATTATTTTGTAAACGCGAAAAATTGGCGCGTGTGCTCCTTAATATGTATAACATAAAAGCCAATTGGAATGGCTATTAAGAACAAGTAAATTTTAGATTTTGAATTAAAAATATTTTGTAAATGCGTATAAAATTTTGGCACGCATGCGTCTTAACATACAGCATAGAAGCCGATCAGAACAGAGCCATAAGTGCAAGTTTACATTAAAATTTTAAATATAAAATCGTGACATAATTTAAAATACATAAAACATGCGTAACATATAAAAATAAAACGCACATAAAGAGGCCGACACGTATGCGCCTTGATTCATATAGGAGGTGCGGGAAAGGGGTGTAGAATTATTGTTGATTTTTTAAACGCCTGTATAAATTAATCCAGATGTCTGGTAAGTCGAGGTTAGGGGAGTTGCATGGGGAGAGCAGTTTTGTGAAGATGGCCTCCCAAATATATATCAGGCTCCCTTCATCACAGCGTTTGAGTATTGCCACTCGATTCCAAAGCGCTATGTGGTGTTGTTGTATCACCAATTTGGAAAGTTCCGTGTCACAATTGCCAAGTGCCACCGAACGTTGGTGTTCAGATACACGAGCAGCCAGCATTCTGGTAGTCGCTCCTATATAATTGGTGCATAGTCCTGATATTGGATTCTGCAGGGGAACGGAGTATACACCAGATTTTTCGAGGGTGGAAATAGCATCTCTATCGTTACACAAGATTCGTCGGAGACATGGTCGTGGGGCTATAGGTAAACAAAAACCATTCTGCCTAAAGATCCGGCAGATCCGGGCTGTGAAGCGTCCACAGTATGGGAGTGAGGGACGAAGTGTTGTCCAATCCCTTGGTCTGCGTAATGTGGTGGCAGGGAAGAGAGACTGCATAACTCTATTTTTAACATGGATGTATTTGGAGGAACTAAATTCCGCCGCATACACCGCTGTGCGGACGGCCTCCAGTTCAGTATTGATAAGATGCTGTGTTGATGGTAGTAAGAATGCCCATCTGATCAAGGGACCTATGGCCGCATTAACATATTGCTGTGGTTGACAGACTGTGGCTTGTATTATGGGTGGGATATTGCCAAACTTGTGATAAACGGAAAACTCCAAGCCTTCCTGGGATTTGTGAATGTGCAAGTCCAAGAAAGCAATTCTTCTCCCAACTTCCTTCTCCCAAGTGAAGTGTATAGAGGTATACATTTTTGATAAGTGATGTTCTAATACCCGGAAGGAGTCTTCCGTATCCTGCCACGCCAAAATAATATCATCTACGTATCTTAAATAAATTAAGGGGTAAGCTATAGTGAGAGGGGCTTTAAAAACGCTGTGTTCAACGCGCCGCATGATAAGTTCTGCCAATACAGCTGACAGTGGTGAGCCCATCGGCACCCCCTGCATTTTGTCTGCAGAAACAGGGGGTGCCGATGGGCTCACCACTGTCAGCTGTATTGGCAGAACTTATCATGCGGCACGTTGAACACAGCGTTTTTAAAGCCCCTCTCACTATAGCTTACCCCTTAATTTATTTAAGATACGTAGATGATATTATTTTGGCGTGGCAGGATACGGAAGACTCCTTCC